TGGAATAATAATACATTATTAAAAATTTAACATTTTTGGAATTATTTATGCTCTTCATAAAAGAAAAAATTATCATAAAGGTCCCAGTAATCGATTGGAAACCTACTTACCCCCCAAATCAATAATCCATGCAATGGCAACATAACAGAGCAGGAAGAGATATATAAGAACTCATTTATTGGGACAGGCTTTGTGTTATATTTTGTATAGGTAAGGACAGTAAATATGAAGCGGTGTGGAGAACACAATCTATTAATTATCTTCAAACTTATATGAGCAAAGAAAGCTATAACATAGCTTAGGATATATGTTATAGTATAAGTATACAATATAGTAGAGTTTAATATAGTGCATTATAGTGAAATATATTAGTAAATAGTAGTATAGTAAATAGTGGTATGAGTAGTATTTTTAAGCACAATATGCTCAGCACTTCGCTTAGTTCAAGTGGCAACTCAGTCTGTAATTTCAATAAGAACTTTTGCACCCTTTTGATACCACATTTATGTAACCGGGATTGTTTTCAGATAGCTCGATTGAACACAATTCGTATGATTAGTTTCAAAAATCTTCTCCGTGTATAATAATTAAAATTCAAACTAAAATTTTTGGCAAAAACATTCGTCATAGGAACGTTTTAAATTCTTCGCGGTCAGCAAAGTAAGCGGAATTCAGTCGACACTTGCACCACAAAAAGAATAACAAAAGACTATGAATGTATATTAATACACATACATATGTAGTATATATAATAAGCATTACATATAAATTTGAAACCCTTCTCTATCCATGAGGAACGCCTTTCTCGCTTCCCCGATTTATCCAAATTTTTTCCATTCAATTTTCTTAGCTTCTCGACAAATACGAGTGCGGACCCCTCAACCGGCCAGGTCTTCCACTACTTCGCTGAGTGTTTAAAATAATTTGATTTTTTTAATTTGATATTTAAGCCAAGTTTATTTAATATTAAATTTCTATGAAAAATCAAATTTTATGCTTTCAACTTTTTTATGATTTTTTGCAGATTTGCAGATTTGCCAAAAATCGACTTGATTCCTCAATAAAATTGGCAAGTTTTGCAATTCGAAACTGCGGAGAACAAAGAACCCAAATTGTGCCATGAAAAATAAAATGAAAATTTCAAATTTTAATTGAAAATGAATCAAAAATAAGAAAAATAAATAAATTAATGCAAAATAATAATAATATAAATCCGAATCCAAGTCGAAAACGAAACCATCATCGAAGCTTGTGTGTGGAAAGGTAACACTTTTGCACCATTTTCGGGTTTCGTAGTCGCCGTTGCCGTAGCCGTAGCCGTTGCAGACTTTTTGGTAGCAGTCAACGGAGTCTTTCGTTTCGGGTGCCTTTGGCTTGGAGTATCTATGGCTGAATGCATATTGTGGCACGTATTCGTATCTTAATTCGATCTATTTTCGTATTGTATTGCAATTGAACATTTTTGCAATTAATAATTTCATTGTAATTAAAGCTCAGCTCAGCTCGATTCGTTTAGCGCTTGGCTGCCTGCGCTGATCCAAGAGTGCTAAAGTGTCGCAATTATTCATTCATTATTTTCCTCTGCACTTTTTCATTCATGCAGAGGCTGTTCATGTATCGAACAGCTGCGATTGTGGACTATGTGATATGATGTGGATGGATGATATATCAACGTTACTAATGAGACATCTTGTAATAGTTGCATTTCGATAATAGAAGTTAATAGTTGGAAGATATCATTACTGATATTAATGCTACAGGCAGATTGGTGGGGTGTTCTGAGATGATTACATATTTATTGGCAGTAAATATCATTATCTTGATAAAGTATTGTATATGTTATATCAGACTAAATGCATTAGTCAGAAAGGAAGCTATTTGCAGATGTGAAACTCCATGTAAAGGTAAAAAGTTCCTCAAAATCTATAAAAATGCTGCCAATGAAAAGTGTTCATGTAATTTTCCATTAAAAATATAAATTTTTAGAATTTCCATATTTTAAAAGGTACAAAGCAAATGGGAATGGAGTGAATTAATTTCGAATTATAAATTCAGGTATACGTTTTTAATAAAAAAAAAGGAAATTGTAACATACGATATGTTTCTTTATCACAAATGCGGTTGATCAATCCGTAATTTTCAAAAAAATAGTAAGGAAGATGGGACTCATTTACAAGTAGAATGCTACAAGATTCATTATATTACTAACTATTGGGAATTGTTTTGCCTTCCTATATCTTTATAAATATTGAAGAAGGAAACCGACTTTTACACACAATTTTTTTCAAACGTTGGACCAAAAAATCAAAACTGCAATACAGGAAACATCCACTATTTATATCTATAAATCTTAATATTGGGGAGTAAATCGGACGTGGTGGTGAATAAATCAAGCATCGTGGTATGTTATTTCACTGAGAATGTGTTAGTAAATTTCTTTGAATTGAATTGCAATATTGAATTGAATTGGTTGCAACTAATTTCTATGCTATTCTATTCTATAGCATAAAGACTACCGGATATAAGTGAGTAAAGCAGGTGCCCTAATATTAAGTATAGAAGTCCAACAAACTAAAGTTTTTAATATAAAATACATGGTTACAATTTTTATTGTACATAACTTTAAATTGTCAAAACAAAAACATATATAAAATATGAGCTTATTATCAAAAGCAAACATATAGCCATGAGGGGATGAGGAATACATATACAAGTTAAAAATGTTTAAAACGATCTAAAACCTCATTCCTCTTTAAGTAAATTTTCGTCCATGGACTGATCTTAGTCTATTATTAACATTCTACCGAACCTAACATCATAAGCCGATGATACATAGTTGTGAATCGTAGACCATGCTGCCGTTCGCGTTATTGTTACCGCTCGCGTTGTTTAATAATTAGTATAATCTTAATATTGTTAAGATATATATGAAAACTATTAGAGGAAAGAATTTTAATAAGTTTTTGATGTCACTATCTTTTGCGCATTTCATTCATAAAATTTAATTAATTAGTAAAATATATTCTTTCGAACTTAACAAAGGTAAATCGTAATTCAATGGAAGCTTACATCTAAAAGCTGTTATTCAACATAAGTGCGCTTCTTTTAATTACAAATAAATTGTAAAAGAAATAAAATAAATTTAGATATTTAAAGAGTCCCAATTTAATTGAAATAAAAAAGTTTAAAGGGAAAACTTCAATCATTTCTTATTGCTCTTATTACCACCAATCATTCTAAATTTAATAATAAATTTATATTAAGATCTTAAAATATTTTTTTTTTGTAATTACGACTGTAATTATAGATTATCTGATTCATTAATTGATTTAATTTAAAATCTTGTGAAGAGAATTTTTTTTGCTCAGTTTGTGTAAACATTTTTAATATTTTTTACATATCTGGCAGTGCCATGTCATTGCGGCAGTGACTTTCAAACTGTTTTAAGATGGTTGTCTTCGCTGCAATTCATTTACGTGCTAATCAAATAAAACATGGCATCAAACCGATTGACACAACAAAAGTAAACAGAAACAGAGTTACCAACATTCCAAAATCTGATCATATATAATCATATATGTACATACATATTTTTATTAAAATTTAATTTAATTGAATTTTAAAAACCGAAATTAGTAAGACGGAAAGAAGCAATTAAATAAAATTTAATTTTCTTTTATTTAGAAAAATTAAACAATAAATTTTAAATACTACCTTGACATATATTTTAATAATTATATATTATAACTTTTATAATTAGTTTTAAATGTTTTACATGTGAATGACTAATTATATGACTTGACTATACATTATATATATGGATGGATGAATAAAATAATATAATTTAATATATTGTTTTAAAAGGAAAGAAAAGTAGAAAATAATTTTAATATACAATTTCGAAAAAAAATTGTTGACTAATAATAACATTAATAAAATAAGAGCATTTGTTAATAAATAGCATCAAAAACTAAAACTCGTGTAATAAAATAACTGTTATTCTTAAATATATAACATATTTTATATAACAACCGATATTTTGGAAACAGCAAAACACTGGTGCCATAAATTAATAGAGCTTGAATTTGTATACGTATTTCAGCATAAAAACAAACAAGATTTACTCATAGAGCATATAGCTGTAATTAGTGCACATATGGGGAACGTACGTATTACTTTATTCCAGTTAAACATTGTACAGTTTATTATCTGCTCATATACATACATACATACATACATACAGTTAAAAGTTCAAAAATAAATTCGTTAACTAATTTTTCAAAGGAATGATAATGATGATAAAACTTTCACTTGTAACGCAGAAACCTCGAAAAAAGCAATATTTTTATCGAAACACAAACGGGAACTAATCCAATACCATTTTTTATTTTAACGAAAACCGGAGCTAAAAAGTTTTAGTTTGGATCCTTGAGTATTACAGAAATTGATTAAATATTTCAAGAAATATTTGAAAAAAGCCTTTTTTATAAACTCTGCACACGACTCACTTCAGAGAGGGAACCTTTGTTGTTCTAGCCTAGGACGTTTACTCGTTTCTGGAAAAGTCTCCATGTTTTCCCCTAGAACCCTTGGCTACCGGACGTATGCCAGCTGATATTAACTTCTGCGTTGTTAGGAAGTCATTTAAAACTCTGTTATCTCAAGAAGTATGAAGCTTTCAAAGTGAAGTAATTTTGTTGTGTGTTTGTTTACATTAGCTTATGTTCATCCTACTTTTAAGATTTCCGGGCACAATATATTTTTCCGTACTGTACAATTTCTCACAACGTAAACCTTACTTATGGTACTTAAATTTTAAGTGTTTTTAAGAAAATATATTAATATTAAATATTAAAACAGTAAATAAAAGTAAAATAATATTGCAACTAAATGATTTTGTACATTGATACTTAAACTAAATAACTACACTAAACGAAAATTAAGTACATAATTAATTATGGAAGTACATTAAATTAAACTAGATTAATTAAGAATTATCACAAACTTAAGACTTATGAAGCAACCTGAATTTGTGTTGTGTATAAAAACAATGTGTATTCTTTGAACTTTGCGTAATTAAAATTATATAAACAAATCGCTTAAAACTAAAAATTTAGGTTAACAAACCCAGACTGGCGTTTTACGTACTTTAGAGTTTTCAGAAGTTTTCTTTTTTCGTTTTTCTTTAACGATGCTGGAAACGGTGTATGTACTAATCACTCGCCAACTCCACACTTAATAGTTATTTTAATCGTTTCTATGGATTTACACAGTAGCTTTGGATATCTTTCACTCAGTAGTAGCTCAGCTCAGCCAAATCCCATCAGATACTTCGGCAGATAAGTGATTGAAGACAATATGCTATAACTTTAGTGCAGAGATGAGAAGTCGGAAAAATAAAAACATACAATACTCATCAATTTAGTTACTTAATTTTATTAAAATGCCACATATTTACAGTTATTAGTAGTTCCTATATATATAAAAGAAATTAAATCTGTTAACCAAAACCAAGTGAACATGTGTAAGTGCAGCTGCGGCGTTCAATTAGCGCAATAAAGCATGTAAACGTCGCGGAACCGAAACTCCGAAACTGGCAATTTATTTCTAGCCGAATGAGTAAATGACATCCGGAATTTTCCACTCTGCTGTCGAACCTACTGTTGCATCCTCTTCCGGTCCGCGCGCCTCTCCAACGCTATTGGTGGTGTTATGCGGATATGTGGACGAAGCATGTTGTGATGTGCGTCAGAAACCAACACCGAATTTATGTGTTTATCAAATATTCAAAATTTTAGTATAAAAATACAACGGAAACATAAAGCTTACAAAATATTAGCACAAGCCAAAGCATATGCAAAGCCAATTATACAAAGCAACTATAACTACGTTTCAATATAAATACAAATTAAGTTTAGTTCTCAATGTTGCCAAAAAGTGTTACAGCGGACTTGACTGTTTCCTCAAGACTAGATAAAAAGTGAAATCAAAATGTGTAAATAAGCCTTAATATAATTGTAATGACAATGAAGATATATGCGTATCATCTACATATATGAATTGTGAGCAATTTTAAACCATCCCATTTTCCGTTTCATCCAATTAAATGTTTCTAACTCATTAAATAAATTATTGAGATACAGAAGTTTCTTAAAATAATAACAATAAAATGTATTAACATAAAGTATGAATTCAAAAAAAATGAGATGTAAAACGATACTTATGTGAGCACAAATGCCAATTGAAGCAACAACACATACGATTACTTTGTACACTGACTAATCTTTAATATTGAAATATACATACGAATTGGTCAAACCGCGATATAGCCAGGACTTCCACGATTTTGATGAACCTTCATCTATTTTCGATTCTACGTCTTGGCAAAAGTGTCTGCGATCATGGGAGCGCCCACTTTTAGCGTCACATAAAATACGTTTTCTGCATTCGGCATCGCACGCCGGTTTGACTGGTGAGTTTTTCCAATAGTTTCTGTAATGACCAGTAGCAACTAAGTTAAGAATCGTTCCCTTCAATCAGAACACTACACTTACTGATAGTACAAATCAAATAATTCCTGATTATGCGCCATCTCATTAATCAAGTTATCCCAATCTGCAGGACGCAATGCTTTCATGTTGTAAGCAGCTCTTGCTGTATACAATTTATACCATATGGGATAGTCGTAGAGATTTGCCTCTTTGAGATTCATTATCCATGACTCATGATCGATCACCAACCTTGTCGTGGTGTCGTGATCACCATCGACATAATAAATACGATAACCGGGATTAAGGTCGTAATAGGGTGAAACGGATGGACCAATGTAACCAATATTTGTTGAATGACCTGCAATAAGTGAAAAATATATGTATTAGTCGTATTGTTGAATATTGCTTTTTTTATGTTAACTCACTTAAATCGTGTGGATCATAGAACATTTCAAACTCATCATAATGTGTGTGTCCATAGAATTGCGCCATAATCGTGCTCTCATATCGTGAAATTATTTTATAAAAATTACGTGACCAAACTTTGAGACAATCGGAATGTCCTGGTGGTATGTGACCAATGACGTGCACTTTTTCATTTGAGAATTCCGCACTTTGTAGTTCGTAAATAAACCATTGAAGTTCTGTGGCCGGATCGGTTGAATTCAATAGAAGCCACCTAGATAGAAAAATTAATGCATTGTTATTTTCATAAAAATTGTTTACTAAGGGTTATAGATAGTGATAACCGCAACAAAAGAGATTAGGCTTAAAATAAATAAAGACACTGCATCTAAAAATTACAAGTCGCTCTGGGACGTAGATTCGACTGTTCTTGGAACCTTTAAGCTTAAAATTGTTACAAAAGTTACTTATATATGTGCATTTATATCCAAAAATAAACGTATTTATACTATTTTTCACCCTATCCGAAACCAAGATTTAAATCTATGGATTGTGGGGACTGAAATCAGAAGATTATTGCATATCTTCTTAATCCAAAAAATCACAGTGCGACGCTCTTTATTTTCTTCTTGAAAAACTTATAATAAAAGTGATGCTATTAGCAACTCTTCCAAGTCTTTCTGAAATGAAGACCAATTAAATCGATGCGAGGAAATTGCAGAGCAGACGAACTAGGCAGAAAGGGTGATTCATAACTTCACTCAAAACACCTAAACAATCTAGGCATATCGTTAACATCGTGGAAATTGTTGCTAAGCTCTTTCTGTGCTGAAATTTTTAATAAAAGATGGGAAGACTCAACAATATGCAGGCATCTGTATGCAATCTGACTAAGTTCTATTGAAAGGAAATGAAAAAATCTCATTGAGACACCCCGTAGAGATATCAGTCTTTTGGTAGGTTTACTTACAGGTTACTGTAAACTAGATAACCATGCTCGAAGATTACCATGCTTTCCTTTTCAATCAAAACTGTCGCAGCTGCGAGGAAGACGATAAGAATGCCTCTCATCTACCATGTTTTTGCCCAGCTCATTAACGGCGACGACTCAACACTTTAGGATCCCCCTTTCTTGAAGATTTTGATCAATTACAAGACTTTTTTTTTGAAGTTACCATAGTAGTGCGTGATATATCAAATTAAAGGTGTTAAACCCCTCGAAATGTTTGTACTAAAACAGTCTTTAACATCAATCAAAAAAATAATTTTTTTAAAATATTTTTGTGGGAGTCTTATCACATTGAAAATCGAAAAAGTTGAAAAAAGCGTAAAAAAACATTTTTCATCTATACATTATCAGCTATAGCAGCGAAACTAAATAAGTTATATTAACGTTATGTAACTCAAAATGTTCGTACAAGTTTCATCTTTAATTTGATATATCACGCACTACTATGGTAACTTCAAAAATAAAGTTACGGGGCCATATGCTGGATGATGTTTTGAGAAAAGTCAAAATAACGGTTTTTTGCAAATAACTCGAAAACGGTTCACAGGAAAAAAAATCGTTGTGATTTGCGAGTTCTACGGAAAATTTCCCTATAGGAAATATAAGTCCCTTTTTGGAAATTTTTGGCTGTAAATTAGTGTTATTAAAGAAACAACAATAATTAAGACAAGTTCTTCTAATAAACGCTTTTACTAAATATAAACTCTATAACATACATAAAGTCTAAAAAGTCTTTACTAAACTTTTTTATAATTAACTAATTCAATATTGTTCAGCCTTACCAGTTTTTATTGTTGCAGTAATTCATATTAAGTGAAATGATACGAAAACCTGGACGAACTAGCACAGAATAAAATGCTCCTCGTCTTACTGTGTGCGACACACTTTGTGGCAGCCAGCGCCTCCACTGCACATCTAATTCATCATACAACCATGATATTGATATATCGACTTGATTCACGTAGGGCGGTGGAAAACTGTTCACCGGTGCACTTTCGTGATTTCCTAAAGCTGGAAATATAGGAATACCAGGGAACTTCTCGGTCATTTGTTTTACAGTTTCCTTAATGATTTCTAAATTCTCCTCTTTTGTTTGATTCCAAACATCATGTGGTGGGAGATCACCTGTCCAAAGTATATAATCAATATCTTTGTGTGTATCAGCGATGTGCGCAAGCATGTTGTCAACTGTACGCTTGGGAGTGTCGCATTTACGATAATCACCCCATTTGCCAGCAGCGGCATTGGGATTAGCAGGTCGCCCACTGCTTAGACGACAACAAAGCGGTTCATTGCAATCAGCATTTGAACCTTCAGCATAATGTGGATCATAATGCGTGTCAGATATATGTAGCACCTTGAAGAACGGAGCGCTCTCTTGCGGAATGCCCAACTCAGCGACTGGAGGCTTAGGTACCGGAGGGAATATTACTTCCCATTCGTGGTAGGGATTATATACATCGCCACATCCATCGCCAATGACAAAACTACAAATTTCATCAGGTCCTAGATTTACACGTTGCAGAACATAAATCACCTCACTGCCGAATAATGTTGACACACCCTCACATACTCGCGCACTTTGTATGTTGAGATTCACACAGAATTGGTAAATGAGTTTAATGATTTCTGTGTCAGTTTTACCAGCTTTAATGTAGTGTTGTAAAAGCCCGGCACCAGCCTTGCAAGCAGTGCAAGATACTTTAGACATTACACTATTCTCTATTTCGAATGCTACTTGCTTTAAGTTGAATAATTTCAGAGCTTTATCCACAAATGGTGGATAAGTCAAACCATCAGAAGTGGTGTCATACCACAACATGCGTGGTGATGACATATTTTTTTTAATTTTATGCAGACGTTCCAAAAACTCTTCGTCACTAAGTGAGGGAGCATCATTTGTGCGATTAGGAAAATGTTGGATTTCTATGTGGGGCGTTATACTGCGTGGTATTTTCGCGACGTCCCAATCGTCTTCAGGAGTGGTCCAATTTATTACTTGCCCTCTGCTGCCCGAAAATATAAATGGTAAACCTGCAGAAGGAAAAAACATTATTTTTTATTGTTACTCGATATAATTAAAGATACACTTACCTTTTACGAACACATTGCAACCAGCTATGATGACCATCCATAGTGTGATGGTCAAAACGGAGGTCATAATGCTACAACAACGAAATGCACGCTTTCCACAATTACGTCCACTTTTCCAGTTTATTTAACAAAATGAAAACGAATGACTCCAAATCGAAGTAAAATGCAATGAAGTTTAACAAATTGAACTGCAAAATAAAAAAAAAAAGAAAAAGAAATAATGAATGGTAAAATCTTGAAATTTGTATCTTTTTGGTGCAAAGCAAAACTGTTAGAAATCATCAGCAAAGGTAAAAGACCGTCCTAGACACAAATACGTAGCACAAAAGTTTAATTAACTTTTCACTGAAAATACCGAAAATGGTTTTCTTGCTTTCGCCCCGCACCGTAGAGACGCCAAATCAAGCGTTGAACTTTTGCGGTTGCATTTCTATGTTGCAAGGCGTTCCAGTGCAGCTTGCACGTTGCACCGACAATTGCGACCACAGCACTTGCGGCAGTTTCTGGAGTTGCATGCACCGCTTTAATTTTCCACCGTTCATTAGCGCAGAGTCACTCATCGGATATCATTAGTTTCGCTCTTGTGCTTCTTCTCCAATTTGGATTTCAGGGAATGATTTGCGGAAAAGTACTTTCGAGTTTAATTTTCAAAGGAAATCTTTTCTTACTGCTTTTATGCAGCTGCTAAGGCGTTTAAGTGAGTTGCATAATTATTCGAGTACTCGATGTTTCTGGCTTGAACTGAATGGATGAATAACACTTTACGGTATACTGTTTACTGTTACGGGATATGTGAATAGAAAACCTATTGACCTAAAAAGTTATCTTGATGACAGCAAAGCAGTCGAAATTCTTTGAAAAACTGATTTAAATTTTGGGATGTCATCGTTCAAAAGTTTATTATTTAACATTTACAATTCCGCTGAATAAAGTAACTCGACTGGAATCTGTGTAGGTGCTCTCATTGTGTGTTATGTACTATAACGGTTGGAGTTTAGAGAAATCATTTAATAAAATGAATAAATAACATAATTTCAACTTTAATAGCAAAAGGCTTCGGATTTGGAGTAAATATTTTGAAATACTCATGATCTGTTAAAGTTATTCTAAGTCATTGTTATGTTAAAAATTGAATATCAAACATAAAGCCGGATAAAATAGTTTGTTTACAAAAACAAGGTTGGGGCAAACGAGATGCAATGCCTTTATCTGAACATACAGTATAGACTAATCATATTATATTCCTAATATTAAATTTTTTTTATGCATCTTAGACAATTTGAGTAACACAGCGAGAGTTATAGTAAATATATAGTATGAACCTCTATGTGACGACCAATAAGCAAGATTGGTATGTAAATGGCTGCATCTTGGCGTGCAAGGTGGTCTGATGCACAGTTATCAGGTATTTTCTATGTTCTGTTATCCAGATAATATTATTGTGCTTATTATATCCCTTATAATCAAGAAAGGACGATGTAACAGCACAATGCTATCTTAGATCTCCTGTAAATACACAAACTGCAGATTTGCTGGAACCTAAAACTATTTCCGTTTCAATCATTACTTCATTTCTTATATAAACCATTGGTCCTATCGACCTCAAAGTCCTTAAAAGTGGGTGTTCTACATGTTATTTGTCATCGCAATATTGAATGCTTTTCCATTTTTTTTTATATTGAAGGATCGAGTCTCTATGATGTAGACTATTATCAGCTTGACAGTTGATATAATATCTGATAAGTCAATAAAATTATTAAACAAAAATACATCTATTTAACAAGAGAGTACATTGCCGTTATCATGTCTCCAATGCCGACATTTTAAATTTAACATTCCCGGTTCTAACTTCAGGGATGGATAAATGATGGGTGCCTTCATTTATTTGTTTTTATGTAAGATTTTATTTAATTACTTAAGATTCTGATTCTGACAGACACGTTTTGTTTTATATTATATTTCAGTCTTGTTTAGTTACAAAATGTTTGCATACTAAGACATACTTCCCAAAACTGCTTACTAAAGATATTAAAATATTGAAAATTTAATTTTAGAGTTTAGAGCAAATAAGTTTAGACTTTGTCTTATTTAAAATCTTTTCTGAATAAAAATAATTTTAAAATTTGTCTACAAAATTTGCAAAGAGTCAAAAAGGTGAAGGCGCAAAATATTTTGCAAATATTTTTCTTTGTATCTTGTCATTTAATTTGCACAAATATTTGTCTGCGAAGACAGAGAAGATATTAGATTTGAACTTATAGTTTAGAACATTCAAATACCCAAGCTTTTGTAAAGTTTAAATAAATTAATTTATTTTTATTGCATGAGCAACAATCAAATGAAAATTGAATGAATTCTGAACTTTAAATAGACGAAAGTCGAAGTCAGTCAAGTAGTTAAATCAGAATTTATTGGGATTCGATTTCGAGATCTGGCAGTAAACAACTCGCATTCGAGTTGTTTAACTCATCTTACATAACAGTTCAACAAAACATATTTGCGAAGAACAAATTGCAAACAAATTCAAGTGCAACACTCAAAATTTATATGTTTTTGGCTTATCAGTCGAGGCAAGCATATGTGCCAACAAAACAAAAATATGTATCTCCAAATAACAAAATGAGATACACAGATATTAGATGCGAAAAATACGAGTACCTTCAAACCATTTTAGATAAGCACTGCAACATGACGTTCTATTTGTACTTCAGTTCGAAATGGTTTCAGTTTTTCAAGTCACTGTGCAGCTACACATTCACTGTCAACTTTTGACAGAAATAAATAAAAAGATTTTAAATTCATTAAACACAAGAATATACGCGTATTAGTATAAATAAAATAAATAAGTGCTTTCCCACTTTTTTAATTAATAATACATTAAAGTATATAAATCAGTAACAGGTGTTAAAGTCTGTATTATCATATAAATCCAATTATTATAAATCTTAATTGAATTAATAATTAATAAAGGCACCCAAAGAGGTATATGAGTAAACAATATAGTAATGTCATAGTATCTTAATTAAACGATTGAGCTTTGAGCAAAACTTGCAACATTTTTGAAATATCTTCTTATGATTTGCCCATAACCTTGTCGCTAAATGGGAAAAGTATCTCATTTACAAAATGTGTCCGTTCGGCTCAATTCAATATTACAGAAGTTGTCACCTGATGACAGCTGTTGCATAAATTAGCAAATCGTTAAGATACTTTACCGCTGAAACCATCGGATGAAAAAAACTTATTGAAAGGTGACAGTCTTATAAAAAATTTGCTTAACATAAACAATTTGCCAGAAAAAGTTGTCATCAAGTTTCTCATGGAATATTTAAACAATGTTTATCTTTTATTTTATTAAATAAATAAATTCCGCATAACTTATGAGTTAAAGAAGCGTGCATCAAATACAAAGTAGAGAGGAATAATCGCAGAATTTCCAGTCTTTAATTCAGTTTCAATTTACGTACACGCATACACTCGCATACAAAGCATTCATATTTGAAACCAGGAAGAAAGAGACTATGCTTTATAGTAAGTCCTAAATTTGAAAACTTTTATAAAAATATTTTCTATATATTGAACAATTTCTATGAAACTGACAGTTTATCGGTTAAAAAAACCAAAAAACAAAAGTTAGTTACAACTTGACGGAATCTTAATACCCTTCATACCATACTCACAAATAATAATTTTAGCAGAACATCGAATTTGTGTATGTCAAAAGTCAAATGGTGAAGTTTTTGCAGTAATTACCATCTCAGTGCACATAAATATGTGATTAAGTAACAAAAACGAATATGAATAAGATACATAAAAATTTACATTCGAATAACTAAAATGACTTACTTAACTTTCCGATCTGTAACGTCTATTACACAGTTGTTAAAGTAATACTGCAAGCAACCTCGCTCACAAACGCTTTTAGCCGCAAGCATAAACTTAATCGTAATCTACTCGTTTGTTTACGTTTTAAATATACACACATACAACACCAATAACAACTACATGTGCATAGTGTTGTAGGTACAATGACAGCAAGGAGAACAACGCATAACATACGAAACAATTTTTTCTGTGTGTCATTGAGAGTAGTCAACACACTTTAGGATTCAAGCATTCACTCATTCAGACATTCAGACATACAAAGCACAATCGATTTGCGCGCTATTCATATTCATTTCTCATTTGCTTTATTTATAAAACTGTTTGCGATTAGCAACGAGTATTCGATTCATTCACAATTGCTCACCATTTATTATTTTTGAATTCATTCAAAAACCTTCACCTTTTCGTCAATAATTTTTTGAGTCGTAACTCTTTGGATCATAACTAAAAGACAATTATGTTGTCAATCATATAAGTATATAAAATCATAATTTACTAAAACATTCAAGATTCAAGGAACAATATTAATTTTATATACAAAGAAGATATTCACTAAAACTGTAATAAAATAAATGTCGATGAATAGAATCTGAAATTAAAAAATTAGGAGAAATAGTATGGAAATTAATATGTCACTAATGTGTTGTTATGTATACTGTAAAATCCTCGTATAAAGAAGAAGATGTTAAAAATGTTAATAATTTCATTCTTAATAATAATGTAGATTAATATTAAAAGGTGTATCTGTTACAAAAAGCATAGTTGTGATATATTTTCTGTATTATATACTCCTGTAAAGGGAACTTCATATCTTTAATACCCGCATTGATCGAATTATCTCTTTATCTTATTGCCTGTAGCAAAAATATTCATAATATGAAAAGAGAATTGTAAAGAAAAAATACAAATGAATTTATAAAATATTTATAAGTAAATAAAAAAATAAGAAGTAAAAGTTCAAATTCTTGGTATAAACAAGAGATCATTTTCACAAGTTTGAAATCAATTATTCGCATATATACAAAATTAATATCTGAGCGGACAAAGAGATTGGATTATATACATAAATATATTTCATGCATAAATATACACTATACGAGCGCAAATAAACAAATAACTGGAATGACTCACTAGGGCTATTTCAAGCGCTAGTTCCAACTGAGATTAAAGCTCGATGTTGTCTGCAGTTGAAAGCGAAAACTGGGTTGAACACACATGAAATCTGCAGTAACTACTGCTTGGCCTTTGCTTAACTAAAGTAGTTGTTAATAAATACAAATCACAAATTATAAATGTGAACCAA